GTATCGCAGGTCACGGCAACAGTGAGACCTTGGATCCGAGATGTGATATAGGGTGTGGGACGGGAACATTATTGGCGGGTGATAGAAAGATAACAGTCGATAAGATCCGATAGGGGTCTCGGAAGGGGAGGATCACCAAATACGTATCGCAGGTCACGGCAACAGTGAGACCTTGGATCCGAGATGTGATATAGGGTGTGGGACGGGAACATTATTGGCGGGTGATAGAGTGATAACAGTTGATAAGATCCGATAAGGGGTCTCGGAAGGGGAGGATCACCAAATACGTATCGCAGGTCACGGCAACAGTGAGACCTTGGATCCGAGAGGGTGATATAGGGTGTGGGACGGGAACATTATTGGCGGGTGACAGAAAGTGATAACAGTTGATAAGATCCGATAAGGGGTCTCGGAAGGGGAGGATCACCAAATTCGTAACGCAGGTTACGGCAACAGTGGGACCTTGGATCCGAGAGGTGATATAGGGTGTGGGACGGGAACATTATTGGCGGGTGACAGAAAGTGATAACAGTTGATAAGATCCGATAAGGGGTCTCGGAAGGGGAGGATCACCAAATTCGTAACGCAGGTTACAGCAACAGTGGGACCTTGGATCCGAGAGGTGATATAGGGTGTGGGACGGGAACATTATTGGCGGGTGACAGAAAGTGATAACAGTTGATAAGATCCGATAAGGGGCCTCGGAAGGGGAGGATCACCAAATTCGTAACGCAGGTTACAGCAACAGTGGGACCTTGGATCCGAGAGGTGATATAGGGTGTGGGACGGGAACATTATTGGCGGGTGACAGAAAGTGATAACAGTTGATAAGATCCGATAAGGGGTCTCGGAAGGGGAGGATCACCAAATTCGTAACGCAGGTTACGGCAACAGTGGGACCTTGGATCCGAGAGGTGATATAGGGTGTGGGACGGGAACATTATTGGCGGGTGACAGAAAGTGATAACAGTTGATAAGATCCGATAAGGGTCTCGGAAGGGGAGGATCACCAAATTACGTAACGCAGGTTACAGCAACGGTGGGAGCGTGATTTCGAGAAGTGATTTAGGGTGATATGATAGTGATATGGGACGGGAATATTATTGGCGGGTGACGGATGTTATAGGAGCTGAAAGTGACAAGTTAACATGGGAAAATCCGCTACACCGCTCACAGCAGCAATGCGATCGATATGACTCAAGTATAACGATCTCAATGATTCCAACACAACTCATTCCTCACCGCTCATCAGTAGCGGAATCATGTACGACCGCTAAGCTAGCTCTATTCCGAATGCATGGGGTTTGTTTACAGAGATGTTATGAACAGCAGCAACTTGACTCAATCACTCTTATCAGAACTATCTTCCATCAACAACCTCAGTGAGGGCCATTCAAAGCGTTCCACTGCTGAATGCGGGAGTGCATTCCAAAGCAAGACGCTTTAAGAGGGGGGGGGGGATGCATGAATCAGTACGATGCTTCAGCGGCTGATCTAACAGGCTGCTCTATTCCCGTCTATGTAGGTTATGAACGTACCAGTCGGATCGCTCGCTAACGCCGGCGCTCCTCCTTATGCGGCGGGCGCTGCTGCTGCTTCTGCGTCTTGACAAAACGGGCGCTGCTTTTCAGTTCTTGGCTGATGCAGAACATTCCTTTGAACAGTGTGGTTGGTCAACGATCCTTAACTTAGCACGCAGCAAATCCGCGCCCACCCGGCGAAGCCGGGCCATGTCACAGAAGGAGGAGCGCCCGGCGATAGCTGGGCGATCCGACTGGTGCAATGTATAATATAACAGTCAAATCACGCGGATGCAGCCAGGTGCTCCTCTTTCTTTGTCACGGCCCGGCTTCGCTGGGCCGGCTTGGCTTCGCCAGATACTCCCTTATCAGGCGAGGTAGATTGCGCAAAGTGTGCCAAACGGTAAGAGCGCATTTCTTAGTCCAAAAACCTCTCTGGTCCACCTCTTCTTTTGGTTCGATTGCATTTATCTCGCTTACTTGTCACCTGTCATAGTGTCCTTGTCACCGTCATCGTGTTCTTGTCACAGATGCTTTGTAATTTGGTACTTTGAAAGCTCCACCGTGTTGAAAACCGACGACCATCGCATCAGCCCCTATCAGTCGTTATAGCTATTTCCCACCCACCGTTGATGTTCCCATCTCACCCTCTATATCAGCTGCTGGACTGAGCGCCTCGCTGACGATGTGACCTGCGATATGAATACAGTGACCTTACCACAGGGCACATCATTGGTTGAGGATTTCAGTCTGTACGTCTCCCCCCCCCCTACGGCCCATTGTCCCTCCTCATAAAATCGAGATAACGAGCGGGGGAGGGGGGGGGGTGGATAAATAGCACATGTGGTACATGTGAAACAAGAAAAGCCGCGAGACAATACGATCCCCTTCTATCAATTTTCAGATTTTCCCCAACTTCCTGCCACTTATTACAAAATTTCTCGAAAAGTCCCCTACTTTTTCCCAACAATTTTGGAGGGAGGGATGGGGTATATAGCACGCATGAAGCAGGAAAATCACAAAAAGTCAACCACCGCTCCTACAACGCCAAAACGTAAATACGACCCCCCTCCCAACAATGACCAAGTACGACCCCCCCCCCCCTTTACAACGTCCGTGAAGCGAGAAAAATCAACTATCAAAATAAATTTTTCCCAGCCCAAATACGACCCCCTCTCCTGGCGGCCAAATACGACCCCCCCCCCTGTTGGGGATTCTACAACAACGACTGGCCCTGCCTTACCATTCCAACGCTCGTTATTAAGTCTTACTAGCTGCTAACACTTTTTGTCACCCACCGATGATGTTCGTGTGCCATACCCTATATCATATCTTGGAATCAACACCTAGCTGATGCTGTCACCGGCGTTATGAATATGGTGACCATCTCCTTCCAACGGCTCTTATCGAAAATTATCAATCAATATCACACCCTGTCACCGACTAATAATGTTCCCGTCCCGTACCCTACATCATAGCTTGGAAACAACATCCAGCTGATGCTGTCACCCGCGTTATAAATATGACAACTCCCCTTCTAACGTACCTTATCAAATCTTATCAGCTGATATCACTTCCTGTCACCCACCAATAGTGTTCCCGTCACACCGCCTACATCACTTCTTGAAATCAATGTCTCACTGCTACTGGGACCGGCGCTATGAATTTCGTGACACAGACGGACACACACACACACACACACACACACACACACTGACAGACATACTTAGCGGATTATATATAGTAAGACTGTTTGGATATTTATTTTGATGTGTTTTGCTGCTTCTTGCGGAACTAGCTAATAGATAGATCGAAATGAATACAATTAGTATAAAATATAATAATAAGAAATAAGGAGCGAAGAAGGTGTAGCGTTGAGTGGCGCTCTTTACATGCATGCGGTCCGAATATCCATCTTCGGAACGGTTCCCGCCCGACTCATTAAAGCCCTTCATCCTACCAAGGTCAACTAGTTAGTAGCACACTTGTCTGGAAATGTAAAACTCTAGCTTACACATTAACTGAACCTCCCATGCCATTTTGTAGGACAAAATCGTTTTCGAACCGTAACTACGATTATGAGTGGAAGTGAACTGTGTGCTGTACAAAAATGAAATTGTTTAGAGCTGATTTGTTCTTTTGAACTATGTTTGCTTGGAATGAAATATTACAGTAAGTGGGTAGCGGCACTCAACAGTGAGAGGAACATTGCTTTCTTCAGAATCCGAGTGCTCCGGACGAGTTTCGAAAGTACTTCACTTGAAATAATTGGTTTGGTGCAAGGCCTTTTATGATGGCCGAAAACTGACCCAACAACTGTTGGTTTTCCTAGCTTATTGTAAAGGCCATTCAGAGTATTAAGGCCTACCTAATGATTACAAGAGGATTACTCAAGAAGATGGGCAATTGGCCCCGGACCGTGGATGAACTGTCATTGGGTTCTGACAAGTGAATGTTGTGTGTGCAAATGTGCTCAGCAATCTCCTTGGACATTCTATTTGGGTCCTTAACATACTTATGACCCTGTGGCCTTTCAATCTGTGTCCCATGCTGATTAAGATAAGCAACTAGGGAATAACATAAAAATAAAGTAAAAAGAAGAAAATACTTGGCGATTGGCGCTTTAGCACCACACACAAGCTTGAAGGATGCGGCATTTGAACTCAGCTGCTGGCATAATGAAATTTTAGAAAAATAGTTGAAAGCGTATAATTCTCAGGCCATTTGATGAGTAGCAACATCTTTTATCACATGCGTTAATCCCCTCGTAGGCGATGAAAAGAGGAAGGCAATCGGTCACCACTAGTGTACCATCTCACTCACAGCGTTCAGTCGAATCAGTGACGGAGAAAAGGTTTTTCAACGGATGTTGCTGAGCGCGATATTCGTAAGGGTAATTGTTCGAGTGCAAAAATTCCACTGTGTTGGATAGCAGTATAGAGGCGCCCTCACCATTGCTTCCGTGGCGCAATAGGCAGCGCGTTCGGCTATTAACCGAAAGGTTGGTGGTTCGAGCCGACCCGGGTGAAGTTCTGCATTGCTTCAGGAGTAACGGCAGTGCTGGGAGGTACATGGGAAACGGCACTCGGGTCATAATACAGCAAGACTGACGGCTTCAGTAGAGAACAAATGGGAAAAAACTACCTCCAAATCAGTTCATAATAATTCTACCACCACACAAATCGCTTCAGCACAATCCCTGCTCTTTCCCAGATAAAATGCCTTCGACTTGAGACGTACCCTACAGAGTTCTTAGGAGGAGGAGATCTGCCACTAATTAATCGTTCACGCGTAGCACAGCACAGGTTCTTCCGTAAATATGCTTTCGCAGGATGCGAATTGTAGGCCACCCTCTCTTCATATTTACAAATGTATAGACACATTACAATACTCAATAAATTATTCCCTTTCGAGTGGAGAAAGAGTCACGAAAAGCCCTAATAACCCTACTTTCAGGGTATGCGGGCATGGAGAGAGCACTGAATAGCACCGGACGACCGATCGTTTATTCGTGCAGTTGGCCAGCTTACATGATCGATCAGCCGCAAAAAGTCCGTTCTTCTCCCGAGACTCCTCTTTATTTTTTTCAAAAGAATACCCATTCCTTTCCACTGTTTCCAAAGGGTTCAATAATCATTTCCAGTTAAGGTCGACTATAGGCAGATCGCAAGAAGTTGCAATCTATGGCGTAACTTTGACGACATCAATAGCTCATGGAAATCGATATTAAGCATTATCGATTACTACGATCATAATCAGGATAAACACATACCTACACATGGTCCTGGACATTGGCATGATCCGGATATGGTCAGTTGTTAAAGGAAATCGTTGATATTGGCTGTTTGGCAGTGCTGGAAGAGGAACTCCTTTCTCTGAAGTCGAGTCTATTTTCCAAGAAAAAAAGAAAAAGTCAGAAAAAAGCCAAGTGAACTGAAATGAGTGAATAAACTCTTGAGAGCCACTTTAGCTTGTAATTGGTAACCCTGGCATCACCGTCAGCATGGCTATCGCCCAGATGACAATTTGGTAAGTTCAAGTATATACTTTTCACTCCCTCCACGTTCTCGCACAGTTCCGATGTTCCTCATTCCTGATTATTCTTTTCTTTTCCTGAGCTTACCAATTAACCATTTTATGTCAATCTGGTCAGCACCACTGATCATGTCCAACGACCTTCGCGTGATTGCTCCCGAATTCCAACGAATTCTTCTCAACCGCGATGTGATCGCTATCAACCAAGATCCGATGGGTCGAATGGGTCGGCTTGTGGCGAATGTGAGTCCAGTTAAATTCATGGATATTGCTTAAAAAAATCCAACCCTATTGGCCTTGCTGGGGAAGCGTAAAAATCCAACACTGTTGACCTTGCTGGGGAAGGATGAGTACCAGAAGTATATATGTTGAGGAACAACTGATGAATACAGCATGTCGGATCCGTGACAGTGGTCATACTTTAGCCTGTTCTTCACAATCTTCTTCCACCTATCTTCCTAGCCCTTACTACTCTTATCCTCCAGCTGACCAAAGCAGCTCACCGAACAGGAGGTGTGTCACAAAAAATTGTAAAAATCCCTTCTTTTTCCGAATTGCAACCATCCCTGCGTGCTTGTGGCGATTTGTTTTAGCAACTTGAAATTGAAAAGACGAATCCCCTTTCCAACTACTTCAGTGCAGCATCCGCAGATGAGGACCCCCCCCCCAACCACTTGTTGCGCGATGTTCCCATTAGAACTCGAAGTAGAAAAAGAATACAAAAAAGAAGAAAAATATTTTCGCGTTGATCAACCTTTGTTGGGATGCGGCACGCATTCTATGTACTTCCATTCAGAATCGTAGTGGGTTATTGAATGCGATGTGGCCTATACAATGAACTTGCGGGGGCCAGCCGATGTACAAGTCAGTGTTTTATCCTCCCAGACGAATCTGGTACCAATTCACCGTCCCGGAAAGTGGAAGGCTCGGTCGGCCTGAGCGAGAGTCGATCCAGGATTTGATAACCGGACCGCCACTTGCCGTTATACCACCCCGCCTAAAATTACACGGGGGGGGGCAATAAAAAAAGACACTTTGGCCGAGTCACATATCAGCAAAGTTTTCGCAGCCCAGACAGAAGACGTGGATACGAGTACCAGGGCGGAAGATACCCAAGATGTTCCTCGATAAGCAGGAGCAGGCTCTCGCCCATCACCTTCATGTACACCAAAATATGAAGCCATCTCCAATCGCAGCCTGACTGAAGAAGGCCTATGGAATTCACGTCACCTCCAAACAGCTGCGAAACTTCTTGTATGGAGTCACCCATGGATAGCTACCTGGAGACCGGCACTCTTGATCTGGAAGACCTCCAACATCGAGCAACTCCGACAACGTCGGTACAGTCCAGTATATCATCTTCTCGGACTAAAGGTGAACTCTGACGGTTACATCGCCAACCAGAGGAGAATATTCTGCCTTTATGTCGTCGCCTGAACCATCTTGGAAACTTTCGTACTGCTACAGGATTGGGTGCCAGCACATGGAATCGAAGGAATGTTGGAAAAACCTCGCCTACTTGGAATCGAAGGACGTTGAGTACCTGAAGAAGGCGGAATATCCAAGTGTGCCACCTGCTCTAAACTGCTTCGATTACCGGATTATGGCCGAGCCCAACAGGGTGGTCTACAGTGGCGGAAATATCAACATCTAGCTGAACTCAGGCACCAGTCACGGTCGCAAGGCAGAATCTCTCGATGGCGCTCGTCCAGAAGGCTGTGGCGGAGTATCGTGATAGTGTACAATGTGTTGTTGAATTTGATGGTGGAAATATGCCATCAGAATTCAATAAAGTGTAACTGATATAGCCTTAAAAGTCGAGGGAGAAATACGTCTTGTTTTTTATTGACCCCCCTGTATGCATGAGTAGGTACTACAGAACCAGCGATGGTTGGTCTCGTCCTTGACGTAATACATCAACTTATAACTAAGTCACACGTAATCCTGAGCTGAAAATTCAATCGTGAAGTGAGAAACAACAAAACACGCCAGTTCAACCTTACGGGACTCTTCGGAAAACTCAGTCATAAGAAAATGATGGACGGTCTCACCAGCCATTGTTTCACACTACCTCATACCATATTCTGAAGAGATAGCATCAGTAGATGAATGGCCCTTTTTACGCTTCGAAAACTCTACGTAAACTCTAAAGGAAACTTAGAGCACCTTTGAGAGTACTGTAGCGCTTGGTGCACTTGTGCTGAAAACAAGCGCACATTCGCCAGACGCAAGAAACATCGGTCAGAGAACATTGGTCTTGAGGATTTTCCGACAAGAGGGTTGAATCGAAGTAGGAGGAGGTATTTTTTGCAATCAGATTTCTTTGTTCACGCGAGAGCGCTTAGGAACTTGGCGACCACATCATGCCTTCTCTAGTATAGTCAGCATGAACCTCGACCACTCGCTCCTTTCTCCACTCTAATAGTGTTATGTTTGAAATGAGGCGGAGGTGGTGTAGTGACAAGTGGCGCGCTTACCACTCGCGCGGTCCCGGGTTCGAATCCCGGGTCGACTCCCGCCCAGGCCAACCAAGCCTTCTACCCTCCGGGGACGGTAAATTGGTACCAGATTCGTCTGGGAGGATAACACTGACTTGTACATCGGCTGGCCCCGCAAGTCATTGTATAGGCCACATCGCATTCAATAAGCCACTACGATTCTGAATGGAAGTAGAATGCGTGCCGCATCCCACAAAGGGATTGATCAACGGCGAAGACTTTATCCTTATTTTAAATTGACCTCTTGGTCAAGAAAAGCCGAACTTCAGGCGTGGGACGATTGAGTTTTGCACGGCTCGGTCATTCTGCTCATCCTCCCATGTGCCTTGCAGTTAGCTTCACTGCATTACCAGTAGTCTACGTCAAACCGCACGCAGCAAGCTGTGGTAGCGTTGATGAACGAGGAGGTGGCACGCTAGGACCATCTTGAAGCTAGAAGCCGACCCCGAGAAGCTTCAGGCTGCCTCCATGTAATTCTACCAATCAGAAATCACTTCTTCTTTTGCAGATCTCCGGAGTAGGAGCTTATGTAAAGCCGATAGTACCTGTTTACGGCACGGACACTTCATTCGCCATCGCTATCCTCAACCGAAACAATCGAGCGAACGTAAGTTCGTTAGGCACTTTATTGTGAACTTGAAGACAATCAATGCACTCACTCAGAGACAAGCTGCACACTCGCTCCCGCGATCCTTGGGTCGCGAGAAAAATGAGTTCACCGCAGTAGTAGTGCGCCATTTTCCTCTCGATATTGCTTACAAACGAAGCTGGAGAGGCCTTCCTCCCGGAGCGTAGCAAGTCTCAGTCAGATCATCCAGCTGAATTGGGGATTTCCCAGCTCGCAGATTTCGTTTTCCCAGCTCGCAGATATCATTGAAGGCAGTTGGCACGATAAATCGCTATACAGGTGTAGGATTTGTACAACTGGCTTAACAGAATTCCGTGACCTCGGACAGGCGCTGCGTGAAGCCTTTTCCAAGGAGGGTACCTCTATAACGCCCTATTGAGCAACAACTTTACGTCCCAAACGCCTTCCTTGCCCGCCCGCCCACAAACGGACGACCGTTTCTGACGCTCGTATTCATTCATTTGCTGAGCAAATTATGAAGCAAAGGGATTGGTATGAAGCGGCGTGATGCTGCATGGTACACATATGCAGCCGTATCTTCGGTAGCGGTGATTGGTAAGATGCCTACGGGAAACTCGTCCGAAATCGATTTACAAGTCACTGAGAACGGAGGCTTTTTCTTCGCCGGATTTTGACCGTTTCACTCCGTTCTTTCGCCATTTCCCCACTATATAGCCCCCTACTAGCATTTTAGGCTAAGTAGGAAACCATTGTGCCAACTGCCTTCAAAGACTATTCTTGGATTCTATGGAGGATGTGTCAGTTGTTCTATGAAATCCTCATTTCAAGGAAATCACAGAACCTTTTTGAACTGAAATGCAGCGCTTCACAAAGCTAGTCGAGAGAACGCTGCTGAAGAAGAGATAAGTTAGTAAAGTGAGACATTCCGCTTGCGAGATGGTGGTGACCTGACCTAGCGGGACGACTCCCCTTCTTTCGACTCCAACTGCGCTGCCATACGCCCAGCACGCCTAATCATAGCCAACTGTGCTACCTGTCTGCGCCCTCTCACTTCTAGTTGTCTTCCACTCCTGGCTGCGTGTTTGTTGCAGGTTTGTATCGTCACGTCTCTCCCATAGTATGTCCGATAAAGCTTCAAGAAACTGTTTTTAAATAAACACTGTTTTTAATTAAACAGGCACACTAAATACAGGATAAAGTCTCTGTGTTAGTTATTACTAGTATATGCGAGACTCATTGGCCATCTTACAGAAGCAATATTCAGCTCACATGAGTATTTTCAGGATGTTGAATTCAAACTGAGGAATCTCGGGCTCACTAGCGAACGCGGCTACATCCTCAAAGATCTTTGGAGTAATGCACCAACCGTTAAAGTGAGTCCGGACGACACTGTGCGATTCCAGGTGCCGGCTACAGGGGCAGCGATGTACAGGGCAGAATTGAGGAAACCAAAGCGTTGGCTCGAGAACAATCGATTCATTGAAGTGCTCACTAACAGGGTGGCGTACGACTTCTAGGACGACTTCACGGGTTGACTAGTCGCTTTCAGGAAGTTGAACGATTTTTGTTCGCCTGCCTTTTCACATGTACATATTCCAAGGCAGAAAACTGTGATTTTTGTTTTATGCTTGACTGCTGTTATCTGATGAAGATTCAAGGATTTGTGAGCAATTTCCTTTAACAGAAGCATTAAGAGTAGCAACGTTTGAGCTACCTGGGATCGTTTGCTAAGCTTCGAATATGAAAGGATCGTAGAGGCACTATTCCCTGGACATTGCTTGGAACGATCTCTCCTCCCTCTGCCACCAGTCTAGTAGTCTCCTCTTTCCATCAGCCCTGCTCCCATTTAGAGCACAATACGATGAAAGGACAGAGATGGAGAGCGCTAATTCAGGCGAGAGCCGTACTAACGTGCAAATTAGGAGTGCAAATATTTTCTGCCGTGATTCATATGAGCAAAGAACACACTGATCTTCACCCGCTTGCAATCAACTTCGAAGTATTCTGGTCGATTAGGGTGCGCCATGTGGAGAAGCGGCCAACCAGTACGACCTCTGCAACTCCACTGTCCATTTCTATCAACTCCTCGCCCACTCTCGTTCGTAGAAACAATGGTGACCAGGAAAAGGGAGCGAAGGTGTAGAGGAGTTCCATAAAACGCCATTTTTTTCGAAGCAACAGCAAGCCCAAAGGCGACTTCTTGCTGACAAATGCTTAACACATGCTGCTCTGCTAAGGAGCTAACACCTACACATTAAGGCGGTTGATACTGGTCAACACAACTTCAAAGTTTGCCATCCTAATCGTTGGCGTCCCAGTTCAGTTTACTGAGACCTTACTTCCTCCTAATTATGGTTGACTCGGCTCTTTATTTCGCAACTGTATCTTCAGGACCAGATAGCTCTCGGATCTTCATATGGGTAAGGTAGCGTTCAGACTTTGCGATCGCGCCGCTTGGCGGTGCATTCGATCGCGCCGCTAGTGGTAGTGACCTGTCGCAGAGCGACTGACTCTTTCATCCTTTCATATTTTACCACATACAGGGGGCCAAAAAAAGTCACTTTGCTTCATTGACTTTCGAGGCGCTATAAGTTACACTTTATAAACTCTGATCGGACATTTCTACCACCATATTAAAGAGCATATTAAATACTATTATGACACTCCGCCACAGCCTTCTGGAGGAGCGCCATCGAGAGATTCTGGCACGCAACCGCGATGTGGTCCCTGAGATCAGCGAGATAGTCGATTTCTCCGCCACCGTAGACCACCCTATTGAACTCCGCCCGAACCGGGTAATTGAGGGGATTCAGGTCAGGTGACCTACTTGGATATTCCATCTTCTTTAGGTACTCAGCCCCCTTCCATTCCAAGTAGGCGAGAGTTTCTCCAACGCCCTTCGATTCCATGTGGTGGCACCCAATGCTGTAGCAGTACAAAGAAGGTACGGGCGACGACATGTGGGAAGATATTCTTCTTGAGTTGCTCGATGTAACCGCCAGCGCTCAGCTTCAGCCCGGGGTCCACGAAGAAAATATTGGTCTTTCCATTCCAGGTGCGTCCGGTCCATACCATCAACCCGCGCCTTGGCGACTGCGGTGAAGATGATGTCCTAGACCGTAGCGACGTTGCCGTAGCTGCTCGATGTGGGAGGTCTTGCAGATCAAGAGTACTGACCTCCAGGTAGCTATCTGTGGATGACTTCATTCAAGAAGTTTCGCAGCTGTTTGGAGGCGACGTGAATTCCAAAGGTGTTCTCCAGTCAGGCCGCGACTGGAGATGACTTCATATTTTGGTGTACATGAAGGCGATTGGCGGCAGCCTGCTCCAGCTTATAGAGGAAGATCTTGGGTATCTTCCACTCTGGTACTCATATCCACTTCCCCTGTCTGGGCTGCGAAAACTTCGTTGATATGTGGCTCGGCCGAAATGACTTTTTTTGCCCCCCCCCCTCTGTATATACTATAGGAGAATACACCAGCAACCAAATTTCGCAGCGATTAATGGCAAGTAGCCCTGCGGGGAAGCAAAACTGCTTTTAGAATCACAACAGAAGCTCTTCTTTACAGGTTTTTGACCTTTACACCCGTTTTTGCCATTTCCCCACAATATAGCACCCTTGCTACTATGTTAGACCCACTACCAAATTATCGTGCTTATGGGTAGGGAGAAGTAACCTCTATGTCCCTAAAAATATTTCGTACGGAGTCAATCCCAGTTTTGCACGAACATTCTCTGAATGCTCCCTCCCCCTATTCTTCAGTAGAGTTGTGCACCTCTAGGCCGTAATTTTTAGTTAGTTAGTTGGAATTGACATTGTATTTCTCATACAATTCTCTGTTGCTTTGAATTGAACTGAAGGTGAAAAACCATAAATTCGATCATGGTGCCAAACAGCTATATGAAAACAGCTATATGAACAGTTCCTACTGCTCAGCGTTAGGGCGCGAACATTGATCACGACCTTTAAACCAATGGTCATTTTCATGAAAATTGCTTTTAGAAAATACATCTCGAAACGACGTGATCATCAAACAAACTAAAGGGGTGAATGATCGGAGAAATGGCAAAAGATTTAGGTAACAGAAGTTCAAAACATGGAATAACCGGAGAATTCTTTACTCTGGTCTTCCTTAGAAGGAAGTTTAAATAAGGATACCAATGTACTGTTGGGAACAAACAGTGATTAATTTCGAAGGGATATAGAATTCGGTAGAAGATTCCTTTTATGCAACTCTCCTTTTCTAAAGTGTGGTAAAGTATGAAAGGATGAAAGAATCAGTCGCTCTACAACCGGTCACTACCACTAGCGGCGCGATCGCGAAGTCTGAACGCTGCCTAAACGATCTTTTCTCAAGAAAGTGCAAGGCAGTTCCAATATGGTCGGCGAAAGGAGATATCATTGCCTTGGCACCTTTATTTTCGCCATTTTCTTCGTCGGCGTGATCTCCCTATTGAAAATCTCTCTGAAAGTCATTCATGCATGAAATTTGCTGAACAGGAGAGGCAATCAAATCGTACATCATGTGAAATGTTCCCAACAGAGAAACAGAACTACTCGCGCCCTTCCATCATAAAATCATTCCAAATACACCTGCGCACAGGGATTGCGCACTTCATCGGGGATGGCAACAAGGTAAATGTGTAAACTCATGGCGAGTTTTTAGCTGCTTTCTTGCCACGAGACACAAGCAAAGCGATTAAAAACCTAAATGGAGAGCTGCAGCTCATCCTCCTTTCAAGTAGTTCCCTATAGTCGCCGAGCTCTTTATCGATTTTACGATGCGCGAGGCTACTCTATCACAACGATCCCAGCGCGGTCTCACGATCAAAACATCGATCACATCGAGATCAAAAGTCGGGGCCCTGACGGCGTCAAATAATCACTTTTCCCTTTTTCGGTTGATAAAAGGAGAAGAATCAATCATTGCATCCATAACACTCCAAGAAGGAGCTTCCAACTCCCGTGAAACATGAGCCGGTAATGTCGGTGCAAGGGGCAAAAACAATATGGCCTGGTTAGAGATGGTTGGGTTAGAGAGAGAAGCGTGACTTGAATAATTCGCTTGTATTAGGTCATCCCATTCAAACGTGCCGCTGGTTTTTTTTTGAATAAAACAAAGAGGAGAATAGATAGAAAAGTGATATTTTAGCTTTAGGATGAGTAAATCCCTCCTTCACCAATGACCCGCTCCCAGTGCCCCGAGGGCCTTTGGACCTCTGGTACCTTCGATTTTTCAACAAGTGTGGGTAAATTGCTGTTGTTGCCAATTTCGGCAAATGACAAAACATTGTAGCGTCTGCCGTCGGAGAGTACTCTCAACTGAATAGAACAGTTGTAATCGCATGGCTTTATGACGGGCGAATGGGGCGATTGAACCCAGGTCTCAGTATTGTTTGTGTCCCAGCACTGATCTACAATACAGTTACTCGGGGTCTGGCACTATGACGAGCAACGGTGGCCTTCTTGTAGTTGTGTGGTAGCATCCATTTGTCGATCTGAATGCCGAGGAACAGGCAATATGCACCGACAGTGACGGATTTGTTCTCTGTATAGAGCCGCTTGAAAGCCACAGTGTGGGAATCCTTTGCTATGATGATCATCCACTTGCGCCCACGTAACTCTTCATGGTAGAACTCGGGCGGCTTCTCATCTGCATTCATACAAAATTGACGATTGTGAGTTTCGGCTCGAGGTCCGAGACCACCCATATTTCATCTAAGGCCTGGGTGCGTTTTCACAGTTGTGAGTGACATCTCATGCTGAGAACATTACTGCTAGAGGTATAGAATCGGTACTGCGTTCGTGCTTCTATAAGAAAATTAGGTACCCATGCGCCACCCTCTTGACCATCCTCAGTTTATCGGACATAACTCGGGCAGCAGTTGCAGCTGGGATGTCAGACTCGCGGGGAAGCTCGACAAAGGTCCAGGCTCTGTGATCAGACATTCAGCGCTTGACTTCATCCACCCTTTTTTCTTGTGCAGGATGAACATTATGGGACCATCCACGACAACAAATTTTTTCCTTTCTTCCTTGTACGGGCTCCTGAACCAAATCTTCCACCGTGTATTTCGAGAACACCCTTACACACAACTATGGTCCGGCGCAGGTCAAATTTGAGCAGCGCACTTTCCTCTTATGACGTCTGATTTGAAAAACCGGCGCCGATTTTCACCACTCGGGCTTCTTTTCAATTTCTCGAGAACTTCTTCTGGGGCTAGGTTCGCCAAATTTCACAGATACACAGCTTAAGGTACTAGCTTCCAAATGGTATAGTAGCCCGCTGCTCTATCCCCTTTGCTTTTCTGCCATTCCTCTATATGTAGCGGCACGTTTGAATGGGATGACCTAATAATGAACCAGTCGGACCGCCCGGCTTCGCCGAGCGAATGGTCGAAAAAAAATATTGTTTTGAGAATTACCGCACTTTACCGTTTCACTTCTTGTATATACCCCCCTAGAAGACAGTCATCAAAATTTTCTATGCGGCACTCCCCTTAGTGATGAGGAATC